TTTTCAGAAAGATCTTGTCAGAAACACCACATGACATTTGCGACCAGGATCATACAAAGACATCCATAAACTAATGCTTCTGGGCTCATCTGTGAGTTCTGCATTAGTCATGTGACTAGTGGGCCACCAAGACCTCCTGGGGTTAATGAAGTCATTTTGGTGTGACTTCGTCAGAGTTCTCTTCCCATCTCATGAACCATAGGCTACCTTATCCCTTATTTGGCCTCCCCTGTCAACCTTAGGACATGGCAAACAGAGGCTTGGCTGCCTGGCCAACTACCGAAAGACAAGCCTGAGCAATCAAATGACTCTGGGAACAGGTAAAGTGAGAAACAGGTAGGGGAGTGGGAGTGGGGGGAGGTGAAAGAAAAGTTCGCTTTCTCTGTGACAGGCTGTGCTCTCAAATGCTAATCAGGGCAAAGGAATGTTCCTGGTTGTAAAGTTATCTTTCTCCACTTTCTTCTTCCAGGGAAAGGTCTCCTCTCATTCTCTGTGGACCTAAAAGCAAGGCCTTGAATGTTCTTTAGGGGTTGTTGGCATTTGGCCTCAAAGGCCATGTTTTCAGTACTAAGTACACCAAACCTTACCTTACTTTTCTTCTTAGTACTTACCCCCAGATCTATATTCATTGTTCATTTCTCTATTCTATTGTCTTCTTCTCATCACAATGTAAATGCCATGGATTGGGGGCTGTCTCCTTTCTTTATTGCTCTACTTCTAGGGCCTAAGACTAAAGCTTGGTAAGTGCTCAATAAATGTGTTGAATAAATATTTCAAACTGCCCTGGAACCAAACTTTCTTGCCTGCAAGCAGAACAAGAGCTTCGTCTATTGTGGACAAGAATAGTAGAAGATGCTGTAATACTTTGGAGGACCCCCAGCTGATCATCAACATTAACTGCACTTTAGTTCCTATCTGTCACTGTGTCTTTGACCACCCAGTTTACAGCTATCCATGGGGGTTAGGTGAAAAGAAAAATGTGCTGAGTAATAACATGTTTACTGGAGACCTGCTGAAGTTCACCCTTTTAGTCAAAGTTCTGGGGACACTGTAATTAACCCAAGAGGTTGAAAGAAACTGAAGGTCACCTCAAAGTGCAGTAGAAGCTCTCAAATGCAGCACTTGTCCTCAGCCTAAGTCCCAAGAACTACGAGCCAAGTAACCATTAACAAAAGTTTTGACGCCCTGGGCTGGGCATAAAGTAACTAGCAGTAGGAAGTACACCTAAGTGACCACTCCCTAAAGAAATTTTTGAGGTTCTTCTCTGAAGAGGAATACATTCTCTCTCCTTGATCAAAATTGATCAAAATGACATATTTGCTGGCCCTCCAAATACTAGGACATCACCTGGGGAAGAGAGAAAAATTTTGCACATTTGTGGCCACCTGATGAGGACGGGTTTTTCCCTCTTTATTATCAGTAACACACATATGTACAGTTACTGTACAATTATAAAGAGTTGTTTTATCCACCTCCATTTACAAACTGGAGCATATTCTTAAGGTGGGGTCACAACTCAAAGGGGGGCAGGCCAAGTGAATAAATACACACTGAAGGAGAGGAGTACCTGGCCTGTCCAAAAGGAGTGATGGGTCCTAGCCCATGGGTGCTCTGTGGGAACACAGGCCTGGTGGTAGGAGGCAAAGCCAAGACACAATGTTTTCCATTAAAAAATTCCCAATCTAGAAAGTATGTAAGTTTCATAAACTCTGTTTGAGGCCTTCAGGAAATAGTCTATTTGTAAGTTCTTTGTGCTCTCCATGATGCTCCTCTCACCAGCTTATCACCACAGCTCACATTCCTGTCATCCTGTTTTGTCACCATCTCCCTTCCCCCAACTCCTGGGGCCTCTCCTATTTGTGACTTAAGCAAAATCTCCCACTTTTCCAATCACTTCTCTAAACATTGTCACTTTCTTATCTCTAACCAAACCTAGTCTCCCCTGAGGAGACGCCTTCTCTTGTGCCCTTCCAAGTGTTCCCAGGTGCTACTTCCAGACCACTCACCCTCCATCCTATCCCCAACACCCCAGCTAATGAATCTTGTCATCACAGCAGATTGTACCTACCTTGTGCATCATCTTCTGATCCAGACCACCACACCTCAGTTCTCCATGATTTGAGCTTCAGGCTCACTGCCATTTCCCCACTCCCACCATCATTCTTGGTCATTTCCATATCCAGGAAGGCGATCCTTGAATTATCCTGGTCTCTTAGTTCCCAGACCTCCTCCAGTGATCTTGTCCTCTGCAGACCCTCCCTCCAGTGGTCACACCTAGACCTTGTCTTAGTAACTGCAGCCTCTTTAGAACCTCAGTTTCATGCACCTCACTCACTGCTCATCATATCCTGTCTTTTCTAGTTCCTTTCCTCCAAAACCTCAACTTCAACAATCCATAGGCACTATGACCTTTCCATGACCCTGCAGCCCCCTCAAGACTTCACACGGATTAAATCCCTTGATCTGTTATTATAATCACCCCCTTACACATGTTCATTATATTCTTCCTTCCTCCACCCTACTCATCAGGCAGATCCTATGCAGGGGTAAGGGGTATGTGGCTGGCTAGAGAAACAACTCAAGTGAAAATCAGCCATCAGGAGAAAAGAAAAAAATCAAGTGTTGAAATTTTCAAACAACTTCAGATAAAATAGAGCATTAGCTAACCCAGCCAGACAGGAGTACTTCTGAAAGGTCAACAGGTTCAGCCAGCTGCAGCAGCCAGGAGGCCACTGAAAACACAGAAGGCCTCTGCAGCCAAACCTGGCTTTGTCAATTACTATTGTGTGACCTTAGATAAGACCTGTAACTTCATCACCACACCAGGTTATCTCAAGGATTAAATAACACATTCGAGCTGAGTAAGCAATAGATGTTAGCCCCAAACTCAGTTCTGACAAAGTCCAGGCCAGGTAACTAGAAGGTACTATACTTCCTAATACAATTACTTCATCTACAAAAGTCCAGAACTGCTGACAAATCCTTGTTCAGATTGCAAGAAATATGAACAACGAATAAAGAATAATGCATTCCTGATTCTTGGTCCTCTAGAGCTAAGATTCTCCCCACTGGCTCTTGATATCCCCGTCAACTGATTTTCTCCTCTTTGCCTTGGGCTTTGAGAAATGAAGTCTTCAGAAGTTACCCCAAATTATGACTTCATGCACACTCATTCTGCTTCCTCTTTTTACCCAATACGCTGGCCTATACCTATAAAGTCACCTGGATCCTGCCTATTTCTCCCACCTCACATCCTCCTCCAATTCTCCCCTTCCCCTGCTCCAGCCTCGCTGGTTGGCACTCTGGGTCTTTTCCTTGAAAACCACCAAGTGTGTTCCAGCCTCCAGGCCTTTCTACTCCATTACTTCCAATTAGATACTCATCCCTGAGGTTTTTGTGTGGCTGCCACCTCCTCATTCTTCATCTTAGAACTCAGATGTTGCTCTCTTCGAAGACTTCCTCTGACTACCCAGCCAATGTGGCCCTCATGGCATATTTTCAAATATGTACTATCAAGTACATATTTTTATTATATTTTCTGGAGAGCATTTCACTTCTCAAAGAGGATGCCTGGCATGTTTCTTCTCTGCACCAGTATGTCCCTGTTTTATTTAGTCAAGCTGGACTGCAAACAAGTAAGAAACCAATGTTTCGCTGTACAAGCCAGGCCTCCACCACCTAAGTGGGGGGTGGCGGTGGAAGGGGGACACAATTCTAGGAACACGATCTTGCTGAAGAACAGAAAATACCAAGAGAAGGAGCAAGTGTTAACAACACAGATATTTATATATGTGGATCACGGGGCAAGTCCTAGAGAAAGCATGGCAAGAGAAGCAAATTACTTCAAAAAAATATATGTGGAATCTGAATGGTGTACATTTTTGGGAAAAAAAATGAAATTTGGAAGCTATAATTTGTTCATCACAGAGAATAAAATTTTAAGTGATTATATTGGAGAAAAAGTGGCCCTATTATCTTACATTACCCTGTTTGTGTACTTCATCCTGTTCATTTACTTTTTAGTAACTTAATATTGTGACTCTTTTGACGAGTGCTCTTTGTTTTAATGTTCAGTCTCGGTCTCTCCCACCAGAATATAAGCTCTGTGAGTGCAGGGACCTGGCTTGTCTGAGTCACAACTGTCACCACCTGTGCCAGCACTGTCCTGGACAGAGCAAGGACTCAGTAAATTTTGCTGAAGCAATGAATTCTTTCAAAAGTTATTTTCAAAGCCCTCTTGTGCTTGTCTCAAGCAGTTAAGGTTCTAATAACATTGTTCAAAAAGACCTTTCAAGCCGAACTTCCTTAGAGTGAAGAGGTTTAATCCAAATTTATGCTCTGCCAACCTCTTAAGGACCAATCCAATGAATCCAAGCCCAGCTCCTCAAAGCCAATATTCTTCGTATACCAAGGCACCCCCACCCTGGCACCTGGCAAAATTTCTCCCCCCAGTACTTTCTTCTTCTCCTTCCTGTGAATATCACTGAAAACCACCTTCCTTCCTGGAGGCTCCTCTACTGCAGCTGAACCATAAAGGTTTCTTGGGAGGATGATGTCCAACATCTAAAAAGGTGGGGATAGGGCCTTCTTCCCTGAAGCAAAACTGCCACCGGGTCACCTAACGCAACGCCCATACCCTAAGCCTGGCCTCCCTGGGCTTTCCTCAGCCAAGAAAATGTCCGCTGCTAGTAAGAGGCTGGTGGTCCTCGGGTCGGCTTCTCACGCCTTCCTGCGACAGGCAGGGGCCGTACCACGTAACTCCTTGGTCAGTAACACCTCCTTTCTCACCCACAGAAAACTTTCTCGACCCTGACTCCTCCGCCTGTCCTCACTCCCAACAACTCCCAATGTCCCAGGTTTGGCTCCACCAGAACTTCTGAGCTTCACCAACTCTCCCCTCTCAAACCTTGCCCAGAGCCCTCGGATCCCAACTTGTTCCCTGCATCCTGCACCAAAGGTCCCTGCATCGGCCTCTTGGCCACTCCTCCCAGGAGACCCACCTGGGTCCTCACCGTGGCTATTAGGTTCTCCGTTCTCGGCTTCGGCTCCGAAGACGAGCAGCAACGTCAGCAGGGCGAGGAGCACCCGGCCCCGCCTCGCCCCACACAGCTGCGCCATGACGGGCTCCACCCGGCCGCGCAGGTGAGGCCTCCAGCCGCTGGCCGTTGGGGTCTCGCGATCAGGTGCGGGAAGCCCCTTGCTGCGCACGCGCTCTGGAGCGCCTCGCGTTCAAGTACGATGCTCGCAGAGGGGCCCAGTTAAGCTTTCAGGCTCGTCTCCAGCAAGTTCCTTTCTCGGGCCTTCGGTGTGAGGAGTCTCTGCCTCCTATGCCCACAATTCGAGAAAACGCTCCTGGCCCCCCACTTTGTCCCCAGTGACACACAGCGACTCCCCACCGTTCAGAACCGCGCCAAACGCCAAATGCTCGGTGAGAGCTGGAACCAATGGCGGCCGCCTGGAAGGAACAGCCGAAGGTGGCCCGGCAGAAAGAGGGTGGGGCCCACCTGGCGAGGCGGGGCGCACTGAGCGCAGGCGCAGGGAGCAGGCACCTGCGCGGCCATCCTCATCCCGGGGGCGCACCTTGTCCCACCCCTGACGCCAGGGCAAGGGGCGGGGCTCGTATTGGCTCCGCCCCAGGTGGATTCTGACTTGAGGGTAGGAGAACAACCGCCTAACCCAGGCTATTTTTACCCTTTTCCTTGAGCTGGTTGATGACGTTCCAGTACCTTCCCTCTTGAGCTGGGGTCTCGCGGTGGGAGCAGGGGGCGCAGAAATGCTCTTTTGGAAACCTGTGGAGTTTTTTGCCCGCCTCACTTCAATCTTTCTTTGAGGAAGGGCGATTTATTTTTTCCTACATTCGACGTTCACTAAGCGCCTATTCGGAACATTGCTGGAAATTCAGCGTTAACGACATCCGAATACTCCCGGAGTCACCAGACAGGAGTAGTCCTGAGCAGTGACGACTGATGACGGAATCATAGGGCAGAGTGATTAGGGATGTGACCGGGTGATGGATGATGGGAACCCAGACAAGTTCCCCATTCAGTGGGAAAATGGGCCAGAGTGGGCTTTCCCTGAGGAAGTTACAGACTCATGAATGAACAGCAGCTTCAGGCTCTATCTCCATAGGAACCTGGGATGAAGACAAATTATTCACCAAACTGGGATAGGTGTCATGGCAGTGAAGGGAAAAGCACAGGCAAGAGTAATCAGAACCGAAAGGAGGGAAGCTGAGAGGAAGCACTTGACCCAGCTTGGGGGCCAGGGGAGCTTCCAGGAAAGGAACTGAATCTCAAAAGGAGGATGGAGTCGGACAGGTATAGGAGTAGAAGAAAATAGCAAAGGAGACCTATTGAGCTGGGTAGTAGAGGAGGGCCCATGAGGAGGTGGTTTTGAAAATGGACACTGACAGAAACGAAAGGCTAATGGACAAACATTCCAGGAATCGAGAACAGCAAAAAGCAAAAGTTCTAAAGAAAGACAGCAGAGTGTTACAGGAGCTAGGCCCATTTCCACTATTTTTAGTTTCCCTCCTGACAGAAGTAAGTTTATAGTTGAGAGTACAGGAAACAGTTTATTCTTGTATTGTTATTTATTAATTTTTGTATTATTTATTTGTATTACAACTGTGAACCTACTTTTTAAAAAATATATTTTATTCATTTATTTTCAGAGAGAGGGGAAGAAAAACATCAATGTCAGAGAGAAATGTCACACCTCCAACCTGGGACCTGGCCCAAAATCCAGGCATGTGCACTGACTGGGAGTTGAACCAGCAACTTTTCAGTTCACAAGCCAGCACCCAATCCACTGAGCCATACCAGCCAGGGCAATAGTAGGCCTACATTTGCCCGCCCCTGGTATGAAGAGCCTTAACTGGATAAAATGATGTTTATCTGAAATAATTACAGTTTTATGCCAGCCATCCTCTTTAATCTTGCAGTGAGGTCCTGGGACTCCAGAGCAAGAGTCTGAATGTGGGCCAAAGGTCTCTTCAGCATGAGTGCTCCACCCCCACCCTGGCCCACTAAGCCCAAGCTTGAACTGGAAGACTGAGAAGACTGTATAGTAAGAGGGGAGGCTGGAGAGAAGGCACAGGCTCGCTCATTCATTCATTCATCTATCCATTCAGTACATTCATTGAGTACCCACTATGAGCCAGGAACTCCAGCATTTACAACAATGCTGGAGAAGATACAACAGCAAACAAAGCAAAATTCCTGCCCTGTTGGAACTCCCTTTACAATGTTGGGAACAGTGATGGAACTAGTTTTTTTTATATCTCCTCTTTCCCAGAAAATTATTTTTAATAATAATCATTATTTTATTTGTTCTTTTATCTTAAAATTAACAATTGAATGTGAATAAATTTCAATTTTAGAGATATTACTCAAATTCAATAGAATGTCACGTATGAATGAAAATTGGCATTTACCAAATAAAAATATTACACCTAGCTGTTCATAACCTGATGCACTGTTTTAAAATTTAAACACAGAAACTCCAAAAAAAAAAAAAAATGTAGAATGGCAGAATAGTTTCTTCACCTTTATGATCATAGTGCCATCATTGTAATATCTAATCTATTATTTAAATGCAAGAATATGTAGAATCACAGAGATGGGAGACTTGAACTGTGACTGATACAAGCCCAACTGATTCCAGATTGTTATGAACTTATCTTCAGAATAAACCATAAAGCTGAATCTTGATTTTTAATTTAAAACAATTTTTTTTTTATTTTTAAAGTGAGGGCAAGGTGGTCAAGAAAGAGAGGGAGAGAAACATCAGTCAGATGCCTCTCAAATGCACCCCTACCTGGGACCCAACCCAGGCATGTGCCCTGACAGGGAATTGAACCAGTGACCTTTTGTCTTGTGGGACAATGTCCAACCAGCTGAGCCACACTGATCAGGAGTGAATCTTTAGATGTCAGAGGTTAACTCTGGGAGTTCTCTATACAGGCCAACCTTGGAGATACTGAGGTTAATTCCAGACCATGACAGTAAAGCAAGTTTAAAGGAAATTGTAATCTTTTTGCCGGTGGAGTGTTTTGCCTTCAATTTGTCAGAATACAACATCTGTGAAGTGCAAAAGCAAAGTGCAAAAAAACAAAACAAAACAAAAGGTGTGCCTGTATTAATTTCCCTATAGAACATCATGGCAAAAAGATGTTGGGCAGCCGCCTGTTCGCAGTCTGTATAATCCTCTCCCCTTCAGTGTAGGCAGGCCCTGGGTCTTGATCCTAACCAACAGAATATGGCAAAGGAAGTTCATGATTACATTACACTATATAAAACCCCATGTCAGTGGACTGTAGAGAGAGATCCTCCTTGATGGCTTTGAAAGAAATACCATATTCTGCCATGTGTAATGCACACTGTTTTTCCAAAATGTTTGAGGGAAAAATAAGGATGTGCATTATATGTGGGTAGTACTAATTCCATATCTTTGTAAATGTTTTTAACTTTTTAATTTATGCTTATGTGTCAAAAACGTAACTCTAGAAAGCAATAATGACATCTGTATGCAACATAATACCCTGAAATACAATAATCGGTTTTGTTTATAAATAAATAATTGAGTTAAAAAATTAAAACGAAAGATTTTTTTTTTGCTGAAAGTTTGGACCATAAACATGGGTGTGCATTATACATAGCAAAATACGGTAATCTCCCACATTGTGAGAGGACCTGTGGAGAAGGTCACACAGCAAGGAACTGTAGGTGGCCTCAAAGAGCCAAGAGGAACCCCCATGGACAACAAGTAGGAAAATGAAGACCAAATCCCTCAAGTGGTTAGAAGCAGGTCTTTCCTCCAGTCAAGTCCCTGATGAAACTGCAGCCTCATACCTGGATGGTAAACTGGCGATTCTGGAGCAGAGGGCCCAGCTAAGCCATGACTAAACTGATCCACGGAAACTGAGATAATAAGTGTGTATTGTGCACTTATTGTGCGGCAATAGAAAATGAATATAAATATTTACTAAAGGATAGAGTAATAAAAATATGTAATTCCAAGCTTAGCTATATATTTTTAAAACCCTATACTAATTGTTTAGTAAATAGACTAACGAAAGACTTTTTCCTGGGGGTAGGAGGATCATTTTATCACTGATACTGTATAGAATTGTCAGTGCATGGTACAGTAAAAATTTGGCCAGCCTTGGCTGGGTAGCTCAGTTGGTTAGAGTGTTGTCCTGATATGACAGGGTTTTGGGTTCGCTCCCTGGTCAGGGCACAGGCAAGACTCAACCAGTGGGTGCATGGATGGGTGGAATGGCAGGCTAACATTTCTCTCTCTCTCTCTCTGTCCCCCTCCTCCTCCCTCCCTCCCCATTCTCTCTCTGATAAATAAATATAAAATAATAAATAATACATTAAAAATTAAAAAATAAATGTGACCAACTTTTGGTCAGTTTTATTATTATTTTCAAATTCTCTACAGACAGTATACCCCTTTTTGCCTGTACCCAAGGTGGACCACTTTTATTGCCCTCCCTTTGGGACACCACTGGTTGGAAAACAGACAATAAGTAAAAAGAGTAAAAGTAGGGTGGTTAGGGAAGACCTCACTCAACAGGTGACATTTGAGGAAGATGGAGTGAGCCCTGGTGATTTACTCTGGGGAAGAGCTTTCCTGACAGGGGGAACTGCCATTGCAAAGCTGCTAAGATGCGACCATGCCTGGAGCTGAGTGTAAACTCAGGAACCTGGCCTTCAGGCTCAGGGCAATGAGGAGCTGTGGACAGTTTTTTGTTTTTTGTTTTCCCTTAATATAACAACTTTATTGAGATATAACTTGCCATGCAATTCGTCTTTTTAAAGTGTATAATTCAATGGTTTTTAGTGTATTTATGGAGTTGTGCAACTATCACTACAATCCATTCTCAAAAAGAAACCCCATACTCTTTAGCAGTCATTCCCCCTGACCCTCAATTCTCTCAGCCCCAAGCAACCACCAGCTATTTTCTGTCAAAGGATTTACTTACTCTTAACATTTTATATAAATAGAGTCATACAATATGTAGCCTTTTGTGTCTAGCTTCTTTCACTTAGTATGTTTTCAAGTTTCATCCATGTTGTAGCAAATGTTTGTACTTAATTTCTCTTTTTTGATAAATAATGTTCCATTCTATGGCTATACCACTTTTATTTGTTTATTCATCAGTTGATGGGCTGGGTTGTTTCTACCTTTTGGCTGCCATGAATATGCATATACACATTTTTTTGTGGTATTTCATTGTGGCTTTGATTTGCATTTTTTTGATAACTAGTGATGTTGAACATCTTTTAATGTGCTTATTGTCTTTTGTTGTTGTTGAAGATTTTATTTATTCAGTTTTAGAGAGAGTAGAAGGGAAGGAGAAAGAGGGAAAAAAACATCGATGCAAGAGAGAAGCATCAACAGGTTGCGTCTTGCATGTGGAGGACAGTGGGGACTGGCGACCAAACCCACAACCCAGCCCAGACATGTGCCCAGAGCAGGAATCGAACTGGTGACACTTCACTATCCAGGACAATGCCCAACCAACTGAGCCACACTAGTCAGGGCAATGTGCTTATTGTCTTTTACATATATTTTTTTAGACAAATGTCTATTCGGATCCTTTGTCCATTTTTAAATTGGGTTATTGAATTGCATGACTTTATTTATTTTAGATACAAATATGTGATTTGCAATTTTTTCGTTTCACTTCCTTGATGATGTAAGAAATGTCCAAAACTATAGAGAATTTTTATAAGGTTTTATTTCAGCCAAACTAACAGCATATGCTGGGAGCAAGATTTCAAGTGCTCTGGAAAATAAGTTTTGGGGTTTCTTTTATGCATTTGAAATTAAGCAGGAAAGATTACATGAGGGTGGGAGAAAGCAAGGCGGGGATCAGATTACAGGAGAGGTTATGGAGGGAGGGGTCTAAAGGGGTGGACAGGTATTAAGAGGAGGTGTCTGAAAAGAGGTATTTCAAAGGTGTGTTAAGTTAGATGCACAGAAACAATGGACAAGGCTTGGTTAAGGCAAAGATAAACTTTTACTAAAAAGTTATAGGCCTCCCCTGACAGATGTGACTCCGTTGGTTGGGTGTCAACCCCTCAAGGTGAAAGCTTGCCAGTTTGATTCCTGATCAGGGCACAAGACCTGGGTTGCAGGTTTGGTCCTTGGTCAGGGCGCACCTGATTGATGTTTCTCTCTCACATCAATGTTTCTCTCTTTCTTTCTTCCTCCTCTTCCCCTCTTTCTAAAAAATAAATACATAAACAAAATCTTTAAAAAAATAAAATAAAAAAATAAAGAGTTACAAGTCTGGGCCTGACTACTCACCATGACCTGCCCAGTTAGGAATTCATTTTTAGATCATCCTGTGTACATGTACACCCTGTGAAGTGTTTTATGGACATTACTTTCCATAAAACACCTCCTTTTTTTTTTTTTTAAGTCCATAGTATTATTAAAAAAGAAAAACGCACAAGCAACAAAAGAAAAAATAGATAAATTAGATATCATGTGTGGATGAAAAAAAACAACCTCACTGAGTAATCTGATCATAAATTCCTAACTGGGCAGGTCATTGTGGGTAGAGAGAGGCCTATAACTTTTTAGTAAAAGGTTTATCTTGGCCTTAAGCCCTGTCCATTGTTTCTATGCATCAGGGTTAACACACCTTTGAAATAAACTTAATCACCCTCAAGGGAACACATGATCTTAACTATCTGTAATCCCGTCCCTACATTGCTTTCTCTCACCTTCCCATAATCTTCCTTAGTTCCCTCCTTAAATACAAGAAAGAAGCTGCAAAATTCACTGAAGCATTTTGAGATCTTTTTCCCTGACATACGTCCTCAGTGTGGCTCAAACTTATAAAAATTCTCTACAGGTTTGGATGTTTTATTTATTTTTATTTTTTTAACTTTTAAAAAAGATTTCATTTATTTATTTTTTAGAGAGAGGGAAAGGGAGGGAGAAAGAGGGGGAGAGAAACATCAATGTGTGGTTGCCTCTCGCTTGCCTCCTACTGGGGACTTGGCCTGCAACCCAGGCATGTGCTCTAACTGGGAATTGAACCAGTGACCTTTTGGTTTGCAGGCCCGTGCTCAATCCAGTGAGCTATACCAGCCAGGTGGAGATATATATATATATTTTTTGTCAACAATATCTAAGAAATCGTTGCTTAGTTATGGAGAGTTTTAAGCAGGGGAAGGACATGGCCAAATTTAAGTTTTAAAGTATTATTCTTACTGCTTATGATTAGAAGTATGGGAAGACCTGAGAAGTAAAGGACTTGTCTGGTCACCCTTGCTAAAATTAACACCCCGCCCTTACTACATTTCTCTTTTTTTCTGCTTCCTATTCCTGCATAGAATTTATGATATTCTAATATGTTGAATAATGTACTGTACATACTTATGTTTTCTGACTGTCTCCACCAGAAGAATGTCAACTCCATGAGGATTGGCCTTTTCTGTTCACTGCTCTATCCCCAGTGTCTAGAACAGTGCCTGCTCTACTCAATAAATATTTATAGAGTGAGTGAATAAATGGAGGAATAAATGCAATGCACGGATGAATGAATAAATGAAACAACTAACAAACGATGTATTGAGTACTATGGCTTGGTGTTCCCTGGCAAAGAAAGGTGGCATGGGGGCTCCTGCACCGTTTCTTGCAACCGCCAGAGGGCGCAGACAGGCCGGTTCTCCAGAGCTTGTCCCGGGACCGCGTCCCCTGGATCTAGTTCCCTGGAGTCCCAGATGCCGAGCCTAGTCTGGGGCTCCCGCACCCCGCCCATACCTGAGCCCGGCTCCGCTGCGGGCTTCAACACAGGTGCAGCGGCCAGTCCTCACGCTGCAAGCTGGGAAACTGAGGCCCGGGGCGTCTGGGGCGGGGCCGGCCCCCCACGCTAGCCCAAGCCCCCGCCCCCAGCCGCCTCCGCCCCGCCCCGCCCCGCCCCGCCCCGTAAGAGGTCCCCCCTAGGCTGGAGGCGAGGCGTACTTTGCTACGCGGGGCTCGGGGCAGGGACGGGATGGCAGCTCAGCGGCTGGGCAAGCGGGTGCTGAGCAAGCTACAGGCTCCGTCGCGGGCCTGCGGGCCGGGGGGCAGCCCCGGGGGGTTGCAGAAACGACATGCGCGTGTCACAGTCAAGTACGACAGGCGGGAGCTGCAAAGGCGGCTGGACGTGGAGAAGTGGATTGACGGGCGCTTGGAGGAGCTGTACCGCGGCAGGGTGAGGCAGGGAGGGGTATGGGGGCGTAGGGGAGGTCTTGGGCATCCTACGTCCTTGGGATCTTTGGTTGCTTGTGCTCACTGTTGAACATGCACACCCAGGGGTCAGGCACTCACTAGACTCTTTGGCCTGGCCACCCACCCTCGATGGTATTCTGCTTGTGGACACAGAGAGACACACAATGGAGTCATCAGAGGTGTGCCCGAACATTTGAGGAGGGCCAGGGACTTATCATCTATGGGGTGGGGAGGCAAAGTTGGGGAATCGCAGCAGCCATATCTAGAGAAAGGGTTTGGGGGAGGGGACGTCTTAAAGCCAAACATAGACATGGTGACTAGGAGATACAACCACACAGAGATGCAACAGTATTCACAAACATACACAGTGACAAGCTATAGCCAGTCACAGACCTACTGAGAAAAGCAACAGCCATACACAGAGTCTCAAGGACAGAAGCTGTGGTCACTTACAGATCAACATATGTTACAGCCACAGGCATCCTGGACACAGTAGCACAGGCCACAGCTGTATGCAGACACACAACACAACTATACCCACACAAAAGGACTCCAGTTACAGCTCTTCATAGGTATATACCAGTACAAGCTTTAGCAACTCACAGTACAAGCTATGATAGCTACAACTAAGTGTAACCGTTATTCCCTAAAGGCCAAAACAATATCCACATGATATGAGCTGCAGCCACTCAGATATAACATGACAGAAATGATCAGACAGAAAACAGCATAAGCTGTAGGTACATATGGGCATACAATAGCAGAAACTACAGCTGCCCCTGGACACATAGGGTGTAACCTATAGCCTCATATGTTGACACATAGGCTACAGACAGACACACATTTCACTGGAGCCTCTGATTGAAGTCATATTTGATACAACACATACAATGCCATGGAATACAGTCCCAGGTACCTGATGGTCACAGCAGTATACAGACACATAGGATGCAGAAATAGTGAGCACAGTGTGAAAGGGTAGAAGCTATGATGCCTCACAGTGATATGAGGTCCCTCTGTTCTCAGACACACATGGGTTCATAGAGATGGACAAACAAGTCCAGTTGCTAGGGGTAGGTGGCATCCTATGAGGTCACACTCTCAGGCAGTGGCACAATGGCTGCCTGTAACACATGACGTTAAGCCAGAGTCATACACCTCTCACACACAGGACCACAGGCCCCTGTGCAGGCCATACACACAATGCCACGTACCTCTGCATCCGCACACTGACCCTGGCCCCTTGGCACAGAGACACACACACAGGCGTGTAACACACTTACGGATACTCCATGCTTCTGCTGAATGCCAGACCACCCGGTCCTGAAGGCTGCACTAAAGTCAGCAAAACTTTGGGTGGGGGAGGAAAAAATCTGTAGTCTCTTGACATCTCTTGCTCAGACAGCTGAGTTCTGTCCCCTGTATGGATATTGAGCCAGCCTGAGTTTGGCCCTCTGGCCCAAGAGGCCATACTAGGAATCCCCTTCTTAGTTACTCAAAGGTGAGCTCATGGTTCATCCCACACACCTCGGGGGGCCTTGGTGGTCTTCTCCTGATCTCCTTGGACACAAGGGATTACACTTTGGCCCCCTGTGCTCCTTCCTGTCTCCTGGGGCAAGGGCCAACCCCAGCAGGTTCTGGCCTGCTGCTCCCCTCCTCCATACCTAGCTCTTAGACTTTTCCTTGAAAGGGCAGAGCCAGCCCCTCTACTGAATCCCAGAATCTGACATTCCAAAACTCAACCAGGCCTGCTTCCAGCTGTGGGAACTGGGACCAAGCATAGAGACCCATTCCAGCCCTGAGGTCCCCGGGGCCCAAGCATTCTAGTTGGTACAGGCCCTGGGCCTCTGTCAGCCCATCTGTCACTCCTCCCCCCAACGACCCAGATGTCCCGCCTTGGTGGTGCTGTCCCTGACTGCCGCATTATTGCTCCAGAACTGCCAGCTGGGTTCTGGGGGCCCTGGGGTTCCTCCAGAGCCCCTCGACAAAGGCATGGGGTGGGGGTGAAGGAGCCCCTGACTAGCCCCTCCTCCCTGCCTTAGGAGGCCGACATGCCTGATGAAGTCAACATTGATGAGTTGTTGGAATTGGAGAGTGAAGAGGACAGAAGCCATAAAATCCAGGTAGGTGGAAGGGAAAGCTGCCCCCCAGTCCTGCACCTTGTCCCTCCCGAACAATCATAGCAATGGTTACCAGATTTATTGAGCACTTCCTGAGTGACAGGCACTATTTCAATTGCTTTACACTTATTAACTTATTTAATCCTCACAAAACCCTATGAAGTAGACACTCATCTCCATTTTCCAGATGAGGAATGTGAGCATCTGGAGGTTTAATCACTTGCTCAGAGTCACACTGCTCAGAAGGGGCAGAGCTGGGAGTCAAAGCCCCGGCAGTCTGGCTTTTATGGGCTGTTCTCTCCTACAGGCAAGAAATTCTGTGTGACTTTCTTGCCCTCTCTGGATCTAGAGTTTCTTGACTCAGACCTGCCCCCAGTTATTTGATAAGGCCCTCAGACTGTGTTCCTCCCTTGAAGCCAGGTGGGAAATCTACCTTGGAGTCTGACTTCATAGTCTGTTGCTTGAGGCTTTGTTGGTAAAGGGAAGGGGCTTGAGGGGTGGAGGTGTTGTTAGTGATTTACTTTTTTTTTTTTTTTTTTTTGCGTGGGCGGGTGTGGGTAGGAGCTCCTGAAATCTTGCACCAACCCCACAGAGGTGAGTTTTCCTTTCCCACTTGCAGGCCCTGTTCTGGACTCCTGTGCCCTGATGGGGGTGGGGGTCTCTGGGGAACAGGGGAAAGCTGGCCAGGCCCAGGATGTGCAGAAGGAACTCTGGGGAGCCCTTTTCTCTTTCCAGTGGGGTCTTTTATCTTCCTTACTCCTAGTCTCCTCTCTCCCCATCTGCCACTGGGCCTCCATTATCTCCTCCCTGCTGAGAGGCTCCCCCATCTGTCTCCTGTTTCTTCCTCTGCTGTGCTCTGTCTGCGGTGCTGCCACTCTCTCCCCCCTGTGACTGCCTCCTTCACCCTGGGTCTCTCTGTCCTGCCTCTGGGAAGGGCCCCCCCACCCCCGCCCCCGCCAGGCCCTGAAGCTGCACAACCGAACCCCTCCCACTTCCTTCCCTGCTTTAAAAGGGAAAAATATTCATGTTTCTCTAGCTCTGGGCTGCCTGAGGGACAAACGTCATTGTGTGTCTGTCTGCCCTGGAGGCTCAGGCCTCTCCCTGGGGGCCCTCCTGGTGATCTGTTGGCCTGGGAAACCTGTCGGATGTCTCTCTGTGGCTCTGTTTTTTACTCTGTCCTTTTGTCTCTCCCTCTGACTCTATCTCTGCATCTCTCTGTTTATCTCTGTCTCTGTGTTCTGGTCTCTGTCTCTTTCCATCTCTCTCCTCCCCCACCCCCGTCTCTTTTTCTGTCTTTGTCCCCATCTCTCTCGTTCCCTGTTACCTCTTTCACGCTTTTGCGTTCTCCCATCTCTCTCTTTCTTCCCCCTCAGTCTTCTCTATCTTTATAGGCTCTCCCCCTCCCTAACTTCACCTTCACCCCCTCTCACTGATCGGGAAGCAGAAGGAGGGGCCCAGGTCAGAGGGGCTGGGCTGGGCAGGGACCCCTACCGCTCCCTGTGTTCTCAGCACCCTCTGCCCTGTCCTCAGGACTTCATCCAGGAGCTGTTGGTGAAGCTACGAGGCCTCCACAAGCAACCAGGCCTCCGCCAGCTCAGCCCCTCCAGTGACCGCAGCCTGAGCCCCCTCCAGGACCGGGCCCGGACCGCGCTGCCTTGACACTCTGTCACCTCTGTGGCCCCTCTGTCCCCCACTCCTAGTGCCTTCCTGGCTTGTTTATAAGTAGTACTTTATGGTTCTCTAACAATAACACCAAGCACCTGTTTTTCCTCTCTCTGATCACTCTGGGCTTCCCCCAGCTCCACCCCCGCAAATCTCCTTCTCTCCTGCTGGCCTTCTTGTGTCCCAGTATGTGCAGCTGGCCCAGACAGATGGAGAATCACTCCTTCTCGGCCAGAGAGCATGAGAACAGGCCCTGCTGACCTTGCATCCCTGGATTCACATCCTGTTCTCACCTCCCCTCAGCCTTGGTCCAGTCCTAGCTAGTAAGGCCCCAGTGTGCTGGTGGCACTTGGGTCCTGTGGGAATGACAGCCTGTGGTCCTTGGGCCACAAGGGATGCACAAGACCAAATATGCCCGGTATCACTACAACATGAATATTCATCCATTCCATGAATTGTATTGGGTACTGGCCGTTAGAATTGAGACCAGAAAGAGGAGCAGAACATGGTCCTGGCATCAGGTGCTCACGCACTGGAGGGGGAGGAGGGCCTGTGTGCAGAGGATTAGGACAAAGTGCTGAATGGTCCAAGATACTTGCAAGCTCAGGGAGTAGAGGGAGCCATTCACTCTTGGCGTGGTGAAAAAATTTTGGAGGGCTTCCTGAAGAAAGTGATATTGAGGCAGGTCTTTGAAGGATGCATAGGTGTTTGTGTGAAATGGATTCCCATATCTGAGGACTCTAAACTTGTGGCTGAAGGGATTGGCATCGATGCTGAGCCAGGGAAGATAAAAAATATTGGCTGGACCCTCCACCAATCAGCATGGGCAAGTCTCCCAGGGCTTGATCAGGAAAGTCCCTGATGGGGAGGCCTGAAGGGTCCTGGGGGAGATGCTGGGCATCAGAAGCAAGTATTTACCTAAAACTGGAAGATATTTCAGTATTTTAATAGCAGGTCTATTTGTACCAGTGGTCTCAGTTGGGTAGTCAGGAGATGGAGTGCAGCTGGGGTTGCACCAAGGACTGGCAGGGCCAGAGCTAGAGTGTCTCCCCCGTTCCCTCAAGATAAAGCTTCTTCTGACTGAAGTGGGGGCCCCAGCCCCAGTTCCCACTCGGAGCTGCTCAGCAGCCTGGCCCGGATCAGCCACCCCTCCTATCCCAGGGGACCTGCACTTCCATGGCAGGACGAGAAGGTGCCCTGAAGAAGAGGAGCATGCAGGTGTGCCTGGCTTGCCCAACCCTCAGGTTATCTTGCTGTCTCTGCAGAGATGGGCCTCTGGCTTCCAGTGCCCCCTTCCCTCCACACAAATGTGTGGAGACTGGAGATATCCCACTTCCTGCCATTCAAGCACTGGGGCTCATCTCCCAGGACACCCACTTAGGCCTAAGAAACCCTGGACTTCCCTCTCACAGAACCTGCTTTTGGTTCCTTATCTTTGTGGAGATGGTAGGTGCTCAAACCCAGGTTCTAAAGTTGTGGGTGTGCCTCTCGGTTTCCTCATTAGGGAAAATGGGGACTTCACAGATGAGAAAACTGAGGCCCAGATTAGTGATGTCACTTGCCCAAAGTCACTTGCCCAAAGCTGGGAAGTGGCACTGGACTTCAGTTTTAGGCATTATGACTCCAGAGTCCAACTACTTAATTCCTACACTACAGCACTTCTATAAGCCATAGCAATGATTGTTATTCTTAGTGGCAGGAAGAGATTGACTGATTCATACTAAAGTGTTAGTGACTTCTCATAGCTCTCTGAGAGAGCCTATAAAAAAGGCAGTACACCTTGACTGAAAACAAGGCAACTACAAAAGCATTGGGAAGTAGCATACCATAGTGGGTAAGAACCTGGATTCAAATGCCATTTGTCCTACTTCCTAGCTGTGCGATATTGAGCAAGTTGCTTAACCTTTCTGTGCCTCAGTTTCCACATCTGTAGAACTAAATTATAATAGTACCTATCTCCGAGGGTTGTTGTGAGGCTTAAATGCATGGGCCATAAACTAGTGTCAGGCACATAAGCATTGTTCCTGAGAATCCAACTGGTGACCTTTTGCTTTGAGGGATGACACCCAACCAACGGAGTCATGCCGGTCACGGCTCTGGCGTCTTTCATATCACAGTCCTCCACAGGACTTGCTTGCAGAGCAGAAGCTGAGGTCCTCCCCTCTGTGCTCTGCCCTGTCACCACTCTCCCTTCATCCCTGTCCTCTGTCCCTTGCCTGTGCTAACCACTCCATCCATCAGGCTCTTCCCCTCCAGGACCCAGGGATACCTTCCTGCTGCACAGATCACTCTTCTCTGAGTTCCTTATCCTCATTTAGCTGTAGTCTCAGAGATGTGCCCTTGAGCCCCTCATGTAAGAAGCCACACTCAGTCTCTGTCCTGACGCCCTGCATTCTTTTCTCCATAGAATTTATTACACCCTGAAATTACCTATCATTTTATCATCTGTCTACATTCTCCCACCTTTAGAATATTAACTCCTCGCTTATCTTGAACATGGCTATGTTCCTGATGTCTGCAACACCGCCTGGCACAGAAGTGCTTACCTAACGACAGTGCCCCCTGGTGGCCGCACTACAGTAACCCTCCTCGTGTGGCAGTGAGGCCTCAGCTCCCTCTCGTGGCTGAGTTGTTTTACTGCTACACCCCAGGGTTGGGTGGTCAGCACACTGCATTAAAAGAGCAAGCTCTGAGGAAGCTACTACAAAGCACTCACCTATCTTCATCCTTGACCAACACCAGCCAGTGGCTTTGCTGATTAGAATGATAGATAACTATTAGAAATGGACTTGCATCAATGATATGATTGGTATTCACAACTGGCTAAAATGTCTTGGAAATACTTCTTGCCCTCATAATAAAGAGGGTGGGAAGGCCCTTAGCAAAAAGATTATTGTGGTTGATAGAAGATCAACCTACAAGAATCAATATTATTCACCAACTCTGTAATAACCAATTAAAACATAATTTTTAAAAAACCATATAGTTTTCAATAGCAATAAAAACTATATTTTTTCAAACAACATAAAAATGCATAAGCCTATAATTGAAAAATCTTTAAATGCTGATAAAAGGTATAGAAGATAATCTGAAAAAAATTACACCATTCAGGTCCTTGAATAGGATAGCTTAATATTATCCACATGCCAATTCTTTCCAAATTTGCCAACAAATTGAAAGCAATTTCAATAAAAGTTCCAGAAGGATTTTTCAAAAGCTATTTGGCAAACGTATTTCAAAATTTTTAATGGAGGAATAAAGCTGTACAAATAGCTAAGTCAACATTAAAAAGGAAAGGGGAATGCTTGCTCTGCCAGATATGAAGAGAGATTGCAAAGCCATAATAATAAAAATAGTGTGATGTTGGTGCAAGAATGGATGGATACACCGAAGAAACAACAGACTCACAGGCAGACCCAGGAATGTATAGAAACATAACAAAACAATAGAGCTGGCACTGCCATTTCATGGGGGAAAGGATGGATTGCTCTCTCTGGCTTTGAGAAAATTGGCTCACTATCTGGAGGAGAAAAAAATGTATTCTTACTTCACACCACATGAAGGTAGACTCCAAATGAAATGAAGACCTAAATGTAAAGAATAAAACTATGGGGTTAATAAAAAGAAACTGTAGAATCATACTGTAACATGTCCACAAATTTTTTTGCTATGCTTCCCATCAAAGGTGGTCTATTTGCCTTGTCTTGAACACAGACCAGCCTCAGTGACTTGGCTTCTAACAAAAAATGTGATGGAAGTGGTGCTGAGTGACTGTCTCAAGCTGCCATAACAAAATACCTTAGATTGGGTGGTTTAAACAAATCAATTTCTTCACAGTTCTAAACATTGGTAAATCTGAGATCAGGATGCCAGCATGGTTGGGTTCTGGCAAGGTCTTCCCAGCTTGCAGATTGCTGTCTTCTCGCTATGTTTTCCCATGTCAGAAAGAGACTAAGCTCTCAGGGGTCTGTTCTTAAGTGAACACCATTCCCATCAGACCAGAGTCCTGTCCTCATGACATCATCTAATCCTGATTACCTTTTAAAGCCCCACCTCCAAATACCATCACATTGGTGGTTAGAGCTCCAACATATAAATTCAGGAGGGGCTCAAACACTCAGTCCAAAACAGTGATTTCTGAGACTAGGTCATAATAAGGCTTCAGTTTGGTTCCCTTGGCATGCTTGCTCTTGGAGTATAGCCACCATGTTGTGAGGAAGCCCAAGGTGAAGAGAGAGGCTTTGCTTTCTGATTAATGGCCAGCATCAACTTCCAGACACAGCAGTGAGTGAGTGAGATGATTCCAGCCCTAGATATTATTTGGCTGCATTGCCCTGAAAGACCCCCAAGGGAGAACTGCTCAGCTGAGCCCAGTCACTCCCGAGCCATGAGAGATAAGTGTAATAAATGGTCACTGTTTTACACCACTACATTGAGAACACTTTGTTATGTATGCAGCCAGTGATGACAGGAACAGTGATCTCGGGTTGAGGGAGGACCAAAGGTTTAAAGGCATGAACCCTACAGTGAAAAAATTTGATAAGTTTGATTATGTCAAAATTAAGAGTTTCTGGTCAAGGAAAGGCATATTTAGCTGAAATTAATATTTAAGGACAAAATGAGAGGAGATATTTTCAACATCTAAAATGGATGAATGATTGAAATTCAGCAGCTACAAGGAACTCCTATAACTCAACATCATAAGACCACAACCCTGGTAGAAAGAGACACAAGGGACAGGAACAGACCACTGAGAGGACAAGAAGCCCAAACCGTTTATTGGCACATTAGCAAATACAGTAATAATCTGAAAGATGCAAATTGAGACAATGAGATATTATTTAACATCTATTAATTGGGCAGAAGTTAGAAAGTTGGGAAATACCAAGTACTGACAGGAGTAGCGTTCACATTAACCAACAGAACAGACCATTGAGTAGGTAGTATGTGGTAAGACATGGTGAATGAACTAGATAAACACCTGGCCTCGGCACAGGGATATAGGGCCCCCATGCACAGCAAGTGAGAGTGGATCATGGTCTAGGCTTCTGGAGAGTAACCCATTTATAGGTACTTTGAGTACCTGTTATGTGCCTGGCACTCTTCTAGGTGCCAGGTTATATCAGCAGCTTATGTTTCAGCTGGGCATAACAGATAATAATAACATACATAATTGAATTATTTGATATGTTAGGATATGATAAAAATTATGGAAACAAATAGAATAAAGAGATTGGAAGTGCTGGGATGGGGAAGATTAGAATTTTCAAAAGGGTATTGTGATAGATGAAAAAAAATGGCCCCCAAAATGTCCATGTCCTAATTTCCAGGAACTGTGAATATGTTCTTCCTCTAGATCTTCCAGAAGAAACACAGCTCCATGACACCCTGATTTTAGTTCTGTAAGACCAACTTCAGGCTGACTTCCAGAACTGCGAGGATTTGTTTTGTTTTAAGACACTAATTTTGCAGTAATATGTTACAGCATCTGTAGGAAACTAATACAGGAGGTCAGAGAGGCATTACTAGAATGTTTGAGCAAAAGACCTGAGCGGGGAGGGTGGTACTGGGGGAAACTATTCAGGTAAAAGGAATGGCTCTGAGGTAGAGTATGCTGCCTGTTGGATTATCAGTGAGGAGGTCCATGTGGCTGGAACAGAGTAAGTAAGGGGGAGAGTGGTCAGAGCCAAGATCAGAGAAGCGATGGGGTTAGATTGGGTAAAACTTTATGGGGTACATAAAGTTTACCTTGAGTGAGATGCTGCCACAGTTATTTTATTATGCTCATGCTTCTGTGGGAATGACTTGTCTCTGTTCCACAATGTCTGGTCCCTCAGCCCAGAAGAGTTGTGTGGCTGGGATGGCTGAAATGGCTGGATCTGAGCTCATCTGGAAGCTTCTTCATTCACATGCCTGGTGTCTGGACTGGGGACTTCCTCACAACATGGCAGCCATATGAAAGTGTTCTAAGAAGTCAAGTTGCAAGCCCTCTTTTGACTTGGCCTGCTTAGTGATGCACTTAGTAATGTCACTTCTTTCCCTTTCTATCAGTTACAGCTGAGCCACTAAAGCCAGTCCAGATTCAAAGGGAGAGGAACTAGATTCTCTCTCTTGATGGGGCAGAGGCAAAATCACAAGGCAGAATAGGACATGGGGGATGTCCTGGCCAGGTGGCTCAGTTAATTAGAGTACCTTCCTATATGCCAAGGTTGTGGGTTCAATCCCCAGTCAGGACACATACAAGGATCAACCAATGAATGCATAAATAAGTGGAATAATACATAATGAATGTTTCTCCCCCCTGCCAAATCAATAACGATAAACAAATAAAAAAGAAAAAAAATGAAAAGGATGTGTGGGAGTGACATCAGCAAAAGTAGTAGAATAGGGAAATCCAAGAGTCCGTTCCTCCACAAAAGCATGACTACACTGGCAAAAACCATCAGAATCTACTTTATAGAATACTGAAAACTAATCAAAAGTTTACAGCAGCCATGCTCTGGCTGGTATGGCTCAGTGGATTGAGCACCAGCCTGTAAACCAAAGGGTCACTGGTTCAATTCCCAGTTAGGGCACATGCCTGGGTTGCAGGCCAGGTACCCAGTGAGGAGCGTGTGAGAGGCAACCACACATCTATGTGTCTCTCCCTCTCTTTCTCCCTCTTTTTACCTCTGTCAAAAAAAAAAAAAAAAAAAAAAAAAAAAAGGAACTACAGTCTCAGTATTAGAAAGGAAAAGTTTACAGCAGCCAGGTGAACCAACTGTTTTTCAAGAACTGTTTTTTCAAGAAAGAAACAGTTGAGTCTTGAAAATGATAGCCTGCATTTCTGGCACCAAGGGAGCAGAATGGACCTTATTCTCAAAGAATTATGGAGGTTCATTTTGACCAGTCTGGTGGCTTCCTGCTGAAAAAGCTTATCTTTATTTCACCTCACTTGGAACTCCCCCAGCTCATCCTCTTCATGGCATACATCAGTGCTTCATTCCTTTTTATGGCTGAATAATGTTCATTTTAATTGCTTTTGGTTTTGAAAAATATCTTCTGGGGAATCAAATTCTAGGTCAACAGTTTTGGTTTTTAATGGCAACTCTTTAAAAAATATTGCTGTTTTCTCACTTGTATTGTTACTGAAACTGACACTCAACAGCAAGTATGTTTAGCTGTTAAAGTCTAGATATAGGTATAGGCTTTAACTAAATGTTTAAATTGCTTTGGTTGTTATGCTTCTTACAGTCAAAGATTTAAAAAATATTGCCTCTGGCCCATGCCCTACATTAAGCTCTCCCTGGCCCTGCTTGCCTTCCTTGGCTGCTGGGCTGTGCCGCTTCAGGGCCTGGGCGGAGACCATGGCTTTGTAGTCCCTCAGCCAGCGCTGCACAGCTCCTGCTTGGGGCTATGCCCGCTGAGATGGTATGGCACCTGCTCGTTCAGTCTTACATGGTGACAAAAACTTATATGTTCTCCCAACTACCCAATGATGAACAGAGACAAAAAAGAGAAAATCATTCTTTATCTATGTGTGGCATGTTGGGTTTTGGAGTTTGCCTGATCAGCTGGTCAATAGGTCCATTTAGCAAGGCTTCTGTTTTAATATTCTCTGTGCTGGTGAAGCTGAAACTAGAAAATTTTTTGTGGTTGATACATTGTTTAATACTATTTTTCTTTAAAGATTTTATTTGTTTATTTTAGAGAGGAAGAGAAACATCAATGTGTGGTTGCCTTCCACACGCCCCCTACTAGGGACTTGGCCTGCAGTCTAGGCATGTGCCCTGACTGGGAATTAAACCAGAAACTCTTTGATTTGCAGGCCAGCACTCCACTGAGCCACACCAGCCACTGCCTGTTTGACACTACTTTTGAAGACCATGAATCCTCACATTTTTACCCACGTTAGATTTAAAGCTGAGACACATGAACTTCAAGAAAGTAATGTTCAATTGAAATTGACCATTGTGACTACAGTGGGATGTAGTGACCACATAAACAAAGAACAGAACTACCAACTGGTACTTGACATAGATGCTCAATTCAAGGCCAGTTTTTTAACTACCATAATTCTCATATCCGTGCATGGCTCTACTTCATGTCACCAACAGGGCACTCTTGAATATACTTGATCTCTCCCTTAAATTTTTTTTAATTGATTGATTTTTACAGAGAGAGGAAGGGAGGGAGAGAAGAACATCAATTTGTTGTTTTACTTATTTATGCATTCATTGGTTGACTCTGGTATGTGCCCTGACTGGGTATCAAACCCATGAATTTGGTGTATTGTGACAACGCTCTAACCAACTGAGCTACCCAGCCATAGATGAAGATACTTGATCTCTTAACCATTAAGAGACCAGTGACTGCCAAAGCAGATGCAATTTCTAAAACCTAATTACAGAAATACAAGATCAAGCTCATGAGTAAACTGGTCAACAATGGTGTCCAGATACACCCATTCCCAACAGATGATAAAACTGCCATTACAATCAATGCTTCAGTGAATGGACACTTGCCATTTGTTGTCGTAGGAGTATGGATGAATGAAAGTTGGGAACAAAATGGTCAAAGCTCATCAGTACTCTCAGGGTGTTGTACAACTGAAAAATGAAAACCACTGTGACTTTGTAAAGCT